ATAACGGCTTTCGATCTAGTATAGCAATAGTCGAGCTAGCATAGCGACGGTCGAGCGATTGTCTTCACTTGATTGGCCATCATAGTCCACTATTATATTACATAGCATCACCCATTAAAAATATACGTTATTATAATTATAATTTTATGTTCAGACAAAATTCCTTGAGATCTTGTTCGTTCACAGCATAAAACTTTTTTTCCATCGAACATGCGTAACTCAACAAATGTCTCTTAAAAGTCCTACAAACCCAAGTTCTAGCACTAATATGATATATCTTTTGAGCCACTCACGGCACAATTGTGTTGTGAAAGAGACATGTTAAGTACACTCCACTCTAGTCCTTTTCACTTCATATATCGTGTCCTTTCTTGAATAGGAATCGCAAAATATTTCGTCGCAATCCTGGCCCATTAGTCAAGGATGGAAGTGGAGACGATCTTCCATGTAATGGAATGCTATCTTGTCTCGCTACAACTGGGGCAAGGGTCACCAAAATTTTATTTTTATTTTATGTTTGAGTTTAAATTTTTTATCCCTTCCCGCCATGTTGTCATCCCTATTCCCAGAGTTAATTGCAAGAAGTTCAAAAGCATAAAGATGCATTTTAATATATCGTAGATCATTTTTCCAATTCATATCATTCTTGAAATTTCTATTCGATTGCTATTATTCAGCAGTCGAGTACACGAATTCTTAAAACATCTCATTCTCAATGACAATAACAAGAAACTTCATAAATTATGAGTCGAGTACACGAATACCTTTTTCGATCTCAATATCAGTAACATTTTGCCAAAACAACACATCCATTCCTTTGACAACAATGGAAGAATTGAATCCATTGAGTTGATGAAAAACTAAGCACAGACAGACAGATATGAGGCATTCTCAAATTTACATTATGACAAGTAAGCATTCAGAAAGAAAAAACATGTGATAACATAGAACAACTTAACATCCTATTTGAATATGGCTTACAAGGTAAAAGTGGTATATTGGCCAGACTATGGGTGCATACTAAAAATGCAACCATAAAAAACCCAAAAAAAA